TATGCATTACCTACCCACGCAGTCTGGTCGGGAAATAAGAGGGTACGCATTGCCTAACCACACAGTCTGGTATCGATCGGCACTGGTCGCTAGGATTTCGGGAGCATATAGAAGAATGGAAGAGGGCCAGATAGTGTGAAGGCAGCACCAGCTTCTTGTTCTCTTATACTCTTAGAAAGGGGTCGACGTCGGTCGACTCACATCTGCGACTGCGCGCGCGTCTATAGGATTGGATCGTTGCTGCGATTGAAGCGCGTCGACGCGCGTTATGACAAAGTCTGAACACCTCACGGGAGACAGGCGACTCTATCGCGAGCTAGTCAGGACAGGCTGATCACGTTGCACACGGCCAGTTAGCTGTGATTAAATCGCCACTTGCCTACTCACTAGCACAGGAGAGAACTGAAAACGCTTTTGAGAAGTATTCGACTCACTTCCGTGGCCTACATTCACTTCACCAAGTACGGCGCATCGGAATCCATAAGTATTGGAGAAGGCATAAGGAAAAAGAATAAAGATAAAACATAGAACTCGCGACCTTTGGTATCTGGTTCGTATCCAGCCATTGAACACGCGAACTTATATGTTTGCTCCATCAGGTTCTGCGTATTACCAATAATCAAAACAAGTGGTAGTTGTGTCCTCCTCAAACCATAATTAATGGAATTATGGCAAAATCAAGGTTACTGCAATGCGGAAACTGCTCAGAACAAATCAAATCGGACCTGGTAATCTTCTCATGATGATCGATGACCCTTTGGATGGCAGGAATTAAAAAGGCAGCCGTTTTCCCGCTACCAGTTGGCGCACGTACAACCAGCTTGGCGCCTTGAACACAATTCTGTATTGTTGTTCTCTGCGGATGATGGGACGTGTGAAGCAGGGTAGATTTAGCGCAGCATCAGCCCTTTAAGTTCGTTTATTTCTTCCAGTGAGAAACAAACTGCATCCTATCTTTCGTATCAGTGATTTTCCACCAGCTGTTGCCGCTTACCCGCTTCAACAACTGATGTAGAAGGGAAATGGCGCGCCAAAACCAGCCTCCCTGACACGCTCATCATTCGCAAGGAACAATACCGCATCTTGAAATACCGTAACTAATTCTGATAGATCACTTACCGTCCATTATCACAGATATTGCATACGCCTGCATTGGCAGAAGTCGATCGTACTTCATCTTCCGTAAATTTTCAGCAAGCGTTTGATCAAGTGCGTCAATGGAACTGCAGTCAAAGAATCACTCACTACCAAATAGGATTGGCAATAGCGACTACGGCACGTCCTATCGCTGGGGAAGATCTTTGGCGAAAGTAAGCGACGCTCCTCGCAATCAATTCGCCTCTGCTGCTACGAGTCCCCTGTCCTCACCTATCTAATGTTAGGCCTACCTTGAGCGTTCATACTTTGCGTCAGCGTTCCTTGAGCATGCCAACAGGCGTTTTTGCCAGACGATTGTACAGAAAGTAAAAAAAAAACGCGTCAAAACGTGACCGCAGAAAATATGAACATTCTTTTAGACAGATCTTTTCCCAGGTGAGTGGGTCTTGGTGAATGCTTAGCCATGGAAGCGCAAACACTGGCGACAGTTCAACAACGTTAGCACAAAAAAACCCATCGCGCGCGGGAAAAATTTGCTCTGAGGCCATATCGATCGCCCCTCCCATTCTGATACAAATGCAGGCCCCTGCCCGGCGTCATTGGAGGTCTTCGCCCTCGAATGCGGATAGCGGCTCGTAAACAGAAAAAATCAGAGCATTAAAAATAACTTCACTCAGGCTACGCCCCTGCTTTCCCTTCAGCGAGCCAAAATGAAGTATGGTCCTCAGCTAAGGATTCCCCCTGCCCATCGGACGCCGCTCAGTACCGGAATCCCTTGAATGAGCCAATATCGATGCAACGACTAATGAGAAAAAACTAACCTAAATGGTCGGTAGCGGTCATGCGATATGGCAATGTTTGCTTTTTGGTCTTCGAAAATCCTGTCGATGCCCGTCATTTGGGGAGACGCTGGACCTTAAATTTCCCGTTAGTGAGTGGAATAGAACACATGAAATCAAACTTCAGCTGGTGCCAACCGGCGCCAATTTGGCGCCACCGTCTTTTACATCGGAATCGAAAAACTCATCTTGCATTCTAGACCTACTTTGCGTCCTGTTTACGAATACGATATTTATTCTCAGCGCCAGCGGTAATTGAGGGCACTGATCATCTTCACTCTGCTGGGGCTGAGCCGGTCAGGAAGGAAAACACTCGTTCCAGGCTCAGCCGTAGGAAAGCACTAACCCGGATATCAAGCAACCCTATTATGCAAGTTTTCATCAATTTGAGTGAAAAAGATGGTCTGCCAAATAGCCGCCTGTTGGAGCCATGTGGCGCCAGCAACAAAAACGTGTGCCATATTCGAGAGCAGGGCATATTCAGGCAATTACCTCTACAAGCGAATTTTCAGAGAAAAGTTTTAGCAGAGTTTTTGGAGTCGCGACTGCGGAATATTGCTGATATTGCTGATAAGAGCCGATAGGGGGCGTTAGAAGAATGCGTCACTGAACCAATAACGCTTCCCACAGGAACAGTGTGCTTCTACGAGTTTTATAGAGTCTGGGATGGGAACATTGATGGTGGGGGACAGAGATATAACGACCGATAGAGGGTCATGAGTGTTGCTATTTAATTTTCTCTCCACAATCCAATGCAAATGACTGTTAAAATTTCGACTTGAAGTCATACCAAACGATAACTCGGTGCTCGCGCAACAATAGTAAGAGGAGTGCTACATATTAGGTTGTTCGAAAAGTCCTGCGACACTTTGACCAATTTTTCGGACTAAATTTTCTGTCACTAAAAGACATCTCCAATCTACAAGGTAACCGCAGTTGATGACTAGGACTAGTGCCCTTCTTTTGCACAGCTTCTCATTTCCATTCTCATAGAACTACGGCAACTATGATAAAAAGAAGAGGTGGACCTCATTCTCGAGTTGAGGTCGATTTTCGGAATTTTTGCTTTTTAAAGGATGCGATAGGGACCAAAGGAGGTGGTAATTAGAGGCTGCTAACTTTGTTAAATAACCTGGGTACGGTCGCATTCTCTGATCGAAATCCATGATCTTTTGGCGTAGCCTGATCCCCACATGCGGTCTTCGCATTGCCGAGTAGTAGAGAAAAATTGAGTATTTCTGAATGAATTCAAGCGTGACGTCATCCATATTTTGAAGTCGATTAAGGTGGACTGTGGTCCTTACAACGGTGCTAGTATCCAGTGATACCGCTTTGAAGTCCCACCAATAACACACTGAAATCTTTATCCCATGCACATCTGATTTTGGCTAAGCACATCACGCTGTTCCTGTTGAGAGATCCTGCCGAGGGGACCATTTGCCCCCCATGAGTGCTACCCAAGGACTCTCAACACTGCGCTACCGACCACAAGAGCTCACAAAAGTTCTTTCGCTGTGTACAAGGAAAAGAAAACTCAGTCACGGTCATTCGGTATGACTTGTCAGACGGGTCCAACTCATGAGGCATCCTTCACAAAAAAATTTTCCCGATAAACAAGATTGCGGAGAAGCACGGCAGTTGTCAGTCAGGTGGAGCCTAGAGAGGATGCCAAGGATGCCAACTTACTGGTGGTTACCTTCGGCTGCGCCTCAAGAAGCTTGAGTAAAGGGCCGTCATTCTGTGCTGGTGGGCGACCTATACATTGCCTAACTACGAGCTTAAATAACGTCAGCCTGAAGCCCGCTGATGCAAAAGCTAGCCCTCTGGCCATGGCAAGCGATATCCTCTCCTCAAGACAACGTAAGTGTTAGCTTCCTCGACTACGGCGGAGTGGCCCTACAGGAACTCATAATATGGGATAGGAAAAGTACCTCGATCTCTGAGGGACTTTTAAGCTTTGAAAACTTCCACAAAGTCATGATATACCCATGTGCAGAAACCCCAGAGGACAGTCTCCACTAATCAGGGATAAAAACATCCAAAATGATTTTTGGTCTTTTTCTAGAACAATTCAATCAAAGTGTCGCAGGACTTTTCGAACAACCTAATAGTAGGAGAACAGGTAAAAAGCCAAAATAAATGGCCAAAATCTGCGGTAGAGAAACATTTCTTCACGGCATTTGACGAGCATTTTTGGACGAGTTTCGCCTGTGCCAACGACCACTTTGGTGGAGATGGCTGCACGTATGTACACTCGAAATCCCTGAGATGAGGTAGGCGTGGCTGCGTACTTCAACTAAACGTCGTGGTGGCTATGCTTTGGAGAGATATTTCATTTTGACCCAAATGTGGTCACGTCTCTGTCCAACAAAGAACAAGATGGCGGTTGTCTCAAATTGAAACATCCCACGATTCAGTTCTGTGCCATGTTCAAATGTCATGATTACCCCGTCTCACGGATAAGGAGTACTCTCCTCATCATTACGGACTGTCGGGGCGTATCAGCCAGTAGGAGTGCGCACACTGTTTGAAGCCGTTCTCAGCCTTTTCGTTGAAACGCGTATGCGACAAAAAGTGGTAGAAAACGAGTAATACGAAGGATATAATGCTGTCATGTCATTTGCTCGCTTCAACAACTGGTGCAGAAAGACTTTGGCACCGCGGAAAACGCAGCCGCACTGACCCGTCCGTAATGAGAGGAGAGTACAT